GGAATTCACCTAAGAGTGATTTTATGAGACCATTCGTGTCTCGTTTGTAATCGTTTGGAAACTCTTTGGTTGATAGTGGAATCGGATTTCGATTCCGTGGACGTACCTCACATTGAAGGAACCATGTAAAAAATTTTGTGTCATTGTTGATTTAATTTTTCCTTATTAATTTTTATTCCCATTGATTGATTTACTTGTGGGAAATCATATATTTTTCCTAACAACAGTTTATTTGGATTTATTTATTTGTGTAAATCAATGGAGGGGAATGTAGGTCATATATCTAATTTCAATGAAAGCAATTGGGTAACTTGAAAAACTAAAATGGATGATCTATTAGTTTGTAAATATTTGTATGGGCCTATTGAGGGTGATAGTGGCAAACCTGAGGATATGAAAGATGATGAATGGAAGAGGCTTAATCGAAAAGTCGTTGGTGTTATCCATCAATGGATAGACAATAGTGTGTTTCATCATGTTGCTACTGAAACTTCAGCACATGATTTATGGAAAAAAAAAATTAGAAAGCCTTTATGATAGAAAATCAGCCGCAAATAAAGCTTTTATGTTTCGTAAGTTGGTTAATTTAAAATATAAAGATGGCAGTCGCATTCCGGAACATTTGAATGAAGAAACTAGAAGAAAATCAGTGGGTTCCTCTCATTCGAAGGCATTTGTTAAGAAAGGCCGAAGCAAAACAAGGGAGAGAAGTAAGACTCCTCATGGTCATGATCAAAGTCGTGACAAATCAAGAGATGGTTCTTTTTTCAAAGAAAGACATTGAGTGTTATTATTGCCATGAGAAAGGCCACATGAAGTGGGAATGCAGAAAGCTCAAGAACAAGAAGAAAAGGCGTGACAAAAGTGTGGATAAGAAGCAAAAAGACACAATGGCGGTTATTACCGATGATCTCATGGTCGTTTGTGAAGATGATTGTATCAATTTTGTAGGCCAAAAGAGCAATTGGGTGATTGATTCTGGTGCTTCTTTTCATGTGACTTCTCGAGTTGATTTCTTCAGTACCTACACCAAAAGAGATTATGGTTGTGTTCGAATGGGTAATAAAGGTTTGTCCAAGATTATTGGTATGGGTGATGTTTACTTGGAAACCAATTTGGGCTGCAAGCTGTTGCTTAAAGATGTAAGGCATGTTCCTGACATTCACCTCAATTTGATCTCTACCGGGAAGCTAGATGATAAAGGCTACAATAACAAATTTGGTGATGGAATATAGAAGCTCACAAAGAGTTCTTTGGTGGTGGCTATGTGCAAAAAGACTCATATACTTTATTCGATGCGAGGAAAGATTTATAAAGGTGTTGTCAATACACTTGAAGATAATACTTCTATTGAATTGTGGCACAAGCGGCTTGGGCACATAAGTGAAAAAGGGCTACAAGTTTTGTTCAAGAAAGAACTTCTACCCGGTTAAAACTTGTGTTCATTGTTTAGCGGGTAAACAACATAGAGTTTATTTTCATAAAAATGTTGCTTCTAGAAAAGAAAATGTTTTGGAGAAGATTCATTCGAATGTTTGTGGTCCTTTAAAAGTTAAACACATAGTGGTACACTTTATTTTGTTACTTTCATTGAAAATTATTCAAGGAAAGTTTGGGCTTTTATACTAAAAACTGAATATCAAGTTCTAGATGTATTTAAGCATTTTCAGGCCATGGTTGAAAGAGAAACATGGCAGAAATTGAAATGCATCCGATCAGACAATGGCGGTGAATAAATTGGGCCATTTGATAAGTATTGTCGCAGCCAAGGTGTTCAGCACCAAAAGATAGTTAAGAAGACTCCTCAATAAAATGGCGTTGTTGAGAGGATGAACCGCACCATTGTGGAAATAACAAGGTGTCTGCTTTCACAAGCTAAATTGCCAAGATCTTTTTGGGGTGAGGCAATGAGGACAGCGGTTAACGTGATCAATTTATCTCCTTCCTATCCTTTGAATGGTGATGTCCCAGAAAGAGTTTGGACCGGTAAAGATGTGCCTTATAAGCACTTGAGAGTGTTTGGTTGCCGAGCTTTTGTTCACATTTCAAAAGATGAAGGTCCAAGCTTGATAGCAAGTCAAGACAATGTATTTTTGTTGGCTATGGGCATGATGAATTTAGTTATAGATTGTGGGATTCGGTCAATAAGAAAGTCATTCGAAGCTGTGATATTGTGTTTCTTGAAGACCAAACAATTGAAGACTTTGGCAAAGGTGATCAACCGGAAACAAAAATAGTGATCTCATTGACATTGATCCATCTCCTTCGTCTTCGGTGGATACTAAAAATGGGAGAGATGTGCAACCACCTCTTGAAGATGTAGATGATGATGCTACTCCAAATGAAATTGAGCCTGAAATTGAGAAAGAGCATCTATCTCAAGAATCGCCACCACAACTTGAGTTGAGGAAATCTACAAGGGACCAGCAACCTTCGAGAAAGTATCCTCCCAATGAATTTGTGTTGATTTCCGATCAAGGGGAGCCTGAGAGCTACCAAGAAGCAATTGAACATGCAAAGAAAGATGATTGGAAAAAGGCTATAGAAGAGGAGATGAATTCTTTACTTGAAAATCACATTAATGATTTAGTGAAGTTGCCTAAGGGGAGGAAAGTTTTGAAAAATAAGTGGGTCTTCAAATTGAAGAATGATGGCAAGAATTTGAGGTACAAGGCACGTCTTGTTGTGAAAGGCTTTGGGTAAAAGAAAGGTATTGACTTTGATGAAATTTTCTCGCTGGTTGTGAATATGTCTTCTATTTGGGTTGTACTTGGTATGGCTGTAAGTATGAATCTTGAAGTTGAACAACTTGATGTGAAAACTGCATTTCTTCATAGTGATCTTGAAGAAGAAATTTACATGGAGCAACTAGAGGGTTTTATGGAAAAAGTGAAAGAGAAATTTATTTGGAAATTAAAAAAAAGTTTGTATGACTTCAAGCAAGCCCCAGAGCAATGTTACAAAAAATTTGATTCTTTCATGATAAATAATGGTTTTTCTAAAACCACTTCGGACCATTATGTATTTGTGAAAAAAATTTCGAATGGAAAATCTATTATTCTTTTGCTTTATGTTGATGACATGTTTACTACGAGTCAAGATTACACTATGATTAACAAGTTAAATTTGGAGTTGAGCAAGTCTTGTGTTATGAAATATTTATGGCCGGCAAAGCAAATACTTGGTATGAAAATTGGTCATGATTGTAAAAAGGGATTGATTTAGTTGTCTCAAGAAAGCTACATTGAAAAAGTTTTTAGGAGGTTCAACATGGATAAAGCAAAGTCGGTTGGTTGTCCACTTGCGGATCACTTCAAGCTTAGTTTGAATCAATGTCCTACAAGTGAGAAAGACAAGGAAGAGATGCAGAAAATTCTTTATGCTTCAGCAGTTGGTTCTTTGATGTACGTCATGGTTTGTACAAGGCCAGGTATTGCTTACGCCATTGGTGTGGTGAGTAGGTTTCTCTCTAATCCGGGTAAAGAACATTGGGCAACGGTGAAGTGGATTCTAAGATATCTTTGAGGGACTTCGAAGGTGTGTTTGTGTTTTGGGGATGGTAAGCCGATGCTTGATAGGTTCACAGATTCTGACATGGCCAGTGATGTTGATTCTAGGAAATCTACTTCGGAGCATTTGATGACATTTGAAGGGGGCGCTATTACAAAAATGTGTTGCTCTCTCAACTACCGAAGCTGAATTTATTGCCATTACGGAAGCTTGCAAGGAAGAGTTATGGTTGAAGAAATTTTTATAAGAATTGGGTTTGAAGTAAAAAAGGTATGTACTTTATTGTGATAGTCAAAGTATTATTTATTTGAGTAAAAATTTCACTTCTCATTCGAGATCGAAACACATTGATGTAAGATACTATTGAATTCGTGATGTGTTAGATTCGAAATTGTTGTAACTCAAAAAGGTTCACACGGATGATAATGTTTTGGATATGTTGACTAAGACTTTGTCGAGGGACAAACATTTGAATTGTCAAACTTTGGCGGGTATGGTTGATGTCTCCACCTAAATCGGTAGGGGAAGAACTGTCAGATATACCTCCTTAGTGGAGTATGAGACCCAATTGGTTTATTAAAAGAATTTTAATTTGGTTTGGTTTGGTTATAATATATTTTGGCCCTGTTTGGTAGGGCTTATTTCCAGCTTATTTCAGCTTTTAACTTAATTTAAGCTATTTTGATGTGTTTGGTTCAGCTTAACAATACAACTTATAGCTTTTTGTAAGTCAAAAATCAACTTATTCTTTGAGTGGAGGAGGAGAAGCTTAATTTATGAGTAAAAAATCAGCTTATGTTCATAACTATAAGCTGTTAGACTATAAGTTATAATCACTTTCCCACAGCTCTACCAAAAGGGACCTTTTTATGTTATATCTATCTTTTGGAAGCCCAGTGGGTTTTTTATAATCAGTTCGGTACAATTAGGGTTTTGATAAAAAGCCCAAAAGTTTAAAATATATATTGATATTGTTTTGTTTTTCCGTGAGATGAGGTGCAGCGATAGTTACTAAGTTTTTTGGTGAGATTTGGTTTTGGGTAGCAGCATAGAACTTTGTAAAAGTTCAATTTGTGGAATCCATTGTTTCCAAACACATGTGAAAGCTTCATCGACAGCAGCTGCTTTTGGATTATTATTTTGGATCTTTTACAATTTTGTTTCGAAGACTTTTATTCATCTATTTAGTGAGGTCTTTCCTCTTAATTATTTGTGATTATTTGAAATTCACCTTGGGTGGTTTTGTGAGACCATCTGTGTCTCATTTGTAATCGGTTGGAAACTATTTGGTTGATAGTGGAATTGAATTTCGATCCTGTAGACGTACCTCACATTGAGGGAACCACGTAAAAATTCTTGTGTCATTGTTGATTTAATTTTTCCTCATTAGTTTTTATTCCCATTGATTGATTTATTTGTAGAAAATCATATATTTTCCCTAATATATTTTTCACACTGTCCCTATAAACTAACATATCAATACAAGGACGTGAAAACAAGCATCACACTAAATTTTTTTTTTTGTTTTAGAACAATTCACAGTCAAGGATGGACTTGTTTAACAATAAAAAGAACACGATCACACTTCAATTTGTCTATGGTGTTTTCATGATCCAACTTCATATCCAAGACTGTCTTTCTTCATCAAGAGATCAAGACACATGTATTTCACAATTTTTATTTTGAGAGGTTGGAATTCGAAGGAATTGCCCTCTAAAACTGCTCATTACTGCCAATAAGCCACAACCAATCGAGAGAAACTCCTGCAACTACGCCGCCTAGAACACATAACACTAGCAAATTACCCAAGGCGTTTTGCTCCGGACCCTAGAAAACCAAGAAAGAACTCAATGATTGATCATTATGAGGAGAAATTTTGAATTCAATATTACACTATTGGCTAATGTCAGTTGACTTACCTTGTAGCCTTTGGGAGCTTCTGTAAGGACACAGACAGTGAGATAACCGTTTGTTAGTCCCAAGAAAGATATGAGCATTATCATCCATCCCAGACCACCATACTTTGCAGTGAAATAGAATGCAGGGATAAACAAAACTCGAGATATAGTTGCAAACAAAAGTCCTTTTCGCGATTTTAGCTTGAGTCTCTCCACAAGGGGAATGTATCTTGATATCGAATCCCATACATTGTACATTGCTACCAGAACGAGTGTATACCTGAAAGAGGGATAGAATTTGAGCCATTTTGTCATGTTGTAACAATAAATAGTCTAGGAAACTAGTATTGGAAGAAACTTAATCATGAAACTTGTGGGATCTATTTTTCACCACTTACCATGACCCTAACTGGTGATGTGATTTAGTGTTTTCGAATAAGAATCCAGGGAAGATTGACAAAGTCAGGACAAATATAAAAAACAAGACCAATGCAAAGTCTATGTTCTGAAAAAACAGTTGCTTGCTGTTCAACCGCTGTTGTTGTTGTTTATCATCAGCTTCAACCTACATCGACATCAGAAGCTATTTTGAAGTTTTGTATATTGAAGCTTATTTTTTAAGTACTTCTGCTAAAAAGAAAGCTGACATACTTCTTGGCTTGCCGCTTCTGTTTGGATGCCAGCAGCAGCAAGGTCTGATGAAACAGTTTTCGACCCTTCTGAGGCTGCTTTTGCTCGATAGTACTTCACAATTGGTAGTTTAGGGAAGATGAACGCATATAAGAATATGCATAGAAACTCAAAGAATGTTGAGATTGCAAGGAACAACACTGCAAAAAAAGACAACAATAGTAAACATAATTAACAAGAAACTTTCTAAAATTGTTATCGCCTATCAAGGAGAGAGAGTTTACGTACTAACTCCCTTCCGCAGACCATTACTAGATTTTTCAAAGACGGCTTTCGTGATTAACCTCAAAGCAGACGTGAGAGCTCCTGATGCAGCCAAGCCAGCTAGGAAAGTCTGCAAAATTCATTACAAGAATATTTATGAAGTAAGCAATTTTAATTCAAATTGTTGGAAATGAAAGCAAAAGTAGTCTAACAATTGATGGAAAGTAAAATTAAATGTCAAAATGCTTATTACTTGGATGAACTCAGGGCACATGAAGGACAGGTCTCCTACCATTCCTCCTTGAACATGAGCATCTGCAACTCCAAAGGCAGCCACAATGGCACATACACCAATGTAATTTCCAGTACCGCCCTTCCCGGATGTGACTAAATCCAACTTTTAAAACGTAAAACCAGATTGAATGTGGTGACTTATATATAGATGAAATAAGACTATGGGACAAAAACAACAGTACCAAATGAAGTGTTAAGACTACTTACAACGAGGAGAGACAAAGTACCTATGAAGAAAATGATGTATCCGATCAAGATACGCTTCCTTGTATCGATCTTTGACTCATTATATGCAAGTATTGCCATTGTTCCAAGTGCAAATGGTTGATAAACAAGGGTAAGCATCCTCGCTGGATGGTATCGCTTCAAATCCAGAGGAACAACTTCATCAAATAAAAAAACAAGACTTTTCTATGTTATATGTTAAGCTCAAAAACAGTTGCAAATATGGCAAAACAAGCTATGAAAACAAGGCTTAAAAGAGGTAAAAGCTCACTCTTGAAGCACAGCAGCAAATCAGCAACTTTTGGACCAAAAAAAGGCTTCAAATCACCCCAAAAATCACCTCCAAGGACCTCAGCTCAATAATGGGAGTAGAGAACTAGGTGTTTGTATGCAAAAGTGTAAAGAAAATGCATTTTTGAGCACAAACAAGCCCTAAACCTTAAAGAGAGAGGCATAAAATGTAGAGAGAGAGATAGAGAGATTTTTTTTGCTCAAAGTTGTATATCTCTCTTGTTGTTGTAAGAGAGCTTGATTGATATAGAAATATATCAATTTGCAGCTCCTCAGAACACCCATGTCCAGGTATGGGCTGGGGTATGGCCTAGAATGACAGCTGCCAGCTGTCTACAGAGATATCTGTTGAAAACCACACTTGGCCGGCCGGCCATAAAAGTGGCCGACCGGCAGTCAAACTGGCCGGCCGTCCATCACATTTGGCCGATGGCAACAAAACACAGCCGGTGGCCTCAAGCCATGGCCGATGGAATATGGGGATGTCCCAAAAGCTATTCACTGCCCTCCAAAGCAAAAACACAAGTGTTTGGTATAAAACCAGACACAAAACGGTCGAATCGAGAGATCCTGAAGCAAGACGCGTAACCGAGGCCTCTAGGAACTCAAGACGAACACAAACAAAAATGATCACCGAGTGTTCAAACGGTGACGTCCAAGTCTTGAGGACGGTCAAAAATGGGGTGTCTACAGGTAGCTAATTTGAGGATGGTTGCTGGAGATCCATTGGACAAACTTGGGCACTATTTTCATGATATAAGCCCACCTGATATCGATTTTTATCTTTGGTTTGGGAAGTGGGTTGGCTTTTTGGTTTTTTGACTTTTTTGGCTATTTTAGCATGGGCTAAAAAGCTTGGTTTGGAAAGGACTTTTTGACTTTTTTGACTTTTTTTGTGAGAGAATAGTGTAATGATTATGGATTAAATGTGATATTTTGTTTATTGTGGCTAAAATAACCTATTTTGTCTTTTGTGGCTATTTTAGTTACAAACCATCTTCCCAAACGGACCTTATTTGATTATTACTCGTGTTTTTTGAATTTTCAAATATCCAAATTTATTATGTAGAAATGGACCAAATTAAAGACTTTCTAAATTATGATATTAATATTTTTGCATTAGGTTGGGTTTGTATCATGAATTTGGATAGAGATTTGAAAAGTAAGAGAAAAAATATAGATTAAATATAGGTGAAAAATAATTAGATTTCATTCACATTTCACTTTTTTTTTTCCCCCTTTCCATATCTCTACTACAATTAATGAATTCAAACACAATATTAAAATTTAAAAAATAAAATGTTATGTGTAGTCTATAAATAAAGAAAAATGTTTGGGAGTTCTAAAAAAGGAGCTCTAGTAGCTCTAATGTGTGCGTGGACCCCATCTGATGTGATATTTTGACCTTATATTTTGTTTTTGTTTTTGTTTTTATTTTTTTTATTTTTATTTTCCACATCACTAGAGCTCAACATTTTATTTTTTAAATGAATCAAGATTTATAATGTAGAAATGGACCAAATTAAGGAAATTTTCTCAAAGAAGGATAGAGAATAACAAACCCACCTTAGAAATTAGAATTCAACTGTCTATTTTATTTGTGTTCACACTACACATTAAACTTTGTGAGTGAAGTGGCTTGGATGCTCTCTCCCCTTCCCACCAAGACAAATGGACCCCATTTTGTCTCCCCCAAGTCCCATCTCACCTCAGCCTTTTCCTTCTTTCCTTTTTTTAAGTAGTGACTTTGAAATCTCTTTTTGATCCTCATTTTGAAGAGAGATTAATACGCCATTCGAAGTTTCAAACCTTTCCAATGGAATTCAAAGAAATGGAAGACAAAGCTACAAAGGCCATGAAGAAGAAAGAGATCAAAGCCATCTTTCCACCAAAGAGAGGTCAGGTCAAAGCTAAAATGATTGAGGAATTTGTAGAGACAGTTATCAACATGACAACTGGAAATTGCCATGAAAGTAAGACTACTTCTGCTGAAAGTGGCCATGAAAGCCCATGTTCAAGAAACTAGAGGCATTTCCTTTAAAAAAAATGCACAAAAAGATTTCACAGAATGGGATACAGACATTACTTTGTCTCGTATCTATGTTTCATTAGCACAACTGCATTTGTTTTACGGGGAATTTCAAATAAATGGCAACCCGGTAAAAAAATTTCAATTTCATGAAGTGCAAGTAAAAGTTGTACGCTATAGCACAAATGGCACTTTTACCCCCATGAATTTCAAATTCATTTTTCCCTCATATCATTATTCTTCTTTATACCATGTCTTCCTTAGGACTTAGTCCCAAGGAAGTCATGGGTTCAATTCTCCTTATGGGGGGTTGAATTAAGGGTGTGTAAGCACTTAGGTGCTTAACCAAGGGTGAGGAGATTTTCTCCTGTAGATGCTAATCTAACAACTAACAACTAACATTTGCTGATAAAAAAAATAAATAAATAAAATTATTTTTCTTTGTTTTCCTCCCTGTATTGTATTCAGGTTTTAGAAGTTGGATATGCATATTAGCAAAAATGCCTTGTTTCGTTTTCTTCAATACTTTTCCTATTCGCACTTGTTTGTAAGAAATCCATGTTCTGTTTCAATAGCAGGTTAATTTCACTTTTTCTATCCCTTAAACTACTGTCATTTTTTATTGTGATTCGTAAATTACCAATTTCATCTTCTTATTATTATTTTTTTTCAATGACAAGAGATTATTTACAATGAGCAAATAATTACATATGTTGTGTTTGGTTGGGAGATTTGAAGAGGGATTTGGAAAAGGAAAGGAAAAATGTGTGTGAAATTAGATTATTTACAATGAGCAAATAATTACATATGTTGTGTTTGGTTGGGAGATTTGAAGAGGGATTTGGAAAAGGAAAGGAAAAATGTGTGTGAAATTAGGTGAAACATAGGTATGTTTTAATCACATTTCACCTACCTTTTCCATTTTCTTTTCCAAATCCCTCTTCAGATCCCCCAACCAAACACAACATTAGACAATCATAATCCAACAACTGTAGAAGCTCCACAATTAGCCCCATAGTGGGAGAAGAAACAACGAACCCAATAAACCAATCAATCTAATAAGCCCCATAAAAGAGAAAAAAATATCATGCCTTGCATATAAAAAGAATTGACCGGACAAGGGGTACCTGCAACAGGGTGTGCTGTGCGGGCAAAACGGCATAGCTTTGATGCTTTTGTTTTTTTGTTTTTTTGTTTTTTTTGAGTAGTTGTAAAGTTTCTTTAACAGCTTAGTTTTGTGGTTTGAAACAAAACAAAGATAAAACCTTACAAATGTTCAAAGGAAAAGATTTATTGATATATTTTTATTTCATTTTTATGAGATTTAATGAGTATCTATTGACTAATATATTTGGCATTTAAAAAAAAAAAAAAAACAGATGAGACTAGTTTTTTTTTTGGCAGTAGGTTGTCTCCGGTTCAATCTTTGGACTGGATAGCACTGTTCTGGTCTGTGGAATCTACCATGGGTCTTATTTTTATCATCTGAACAGTTTATTTTTTAGTTTACTATGTATAAATTATCCACCAAAAAATTCAAGTTGATTGGATCTCTATAACTATATGTATAAATTATCCACCAAAAAATTCAAGTTGATTGGATCTCTATAACTATATAATTTTATTATATTTGTCTCCGAAAAAAATGAACAATAGGAATGATTTGAAAATAAACCAAATCTTTTTTCAAAGACATATATAATAAAATTACATAGCTATGTAAATTAAATCGGTTTAATTTTTTTTGTATGGATGATCTACCCAAAGTAACCTAAAAAATGAATGATTCGAATGATCAAAACGAAATCCATGATAGAGCCTACGAGCCCTAACAATGATGTCTAATCTAATATTTGGTCTAAACAAAATTCATTCTTTTTTTTTTCTTTTTTTTTTTACATTGATATTTATTAGAGTATAACAAACTATATTTTAATTTTCACAAATAAATACATAAAATTAATAAGTCATCTACAATATGTTTTTCATTTTTTACATATATTATTTTTAAATTTGTCAACACTGACAAATAATTGTACTTTAGTATGTGGAAAATAAAATATACACAGTTATATTTTAATAAATATCAATATGAAAAAATACAACTAGTAACATTTGATTTTTTAAAAATCAAACTACTGCCAAAAAAAAAAAAAAAAAAAAAAAACTAGTCTCATCTGATTTTTTTTTTTAAATGCCAAAAATATTAGTCAATAAATACTCATTAAATCTCATAAAAATGAAATAAAAATATATCCATAAATGTTTTCCTTTGAAGATTCGTATGGTTTTATCTTTGTTTTGTTTCAAACCACAAAATCAAGATGTTAAAGAAACCTTACAACAACTCAAAAAAAAAAAAAAAAACAAAAACAAAAAAAACAAAAACAAAAACAAAAAACAAAACAAAACAAAAAAGTGGGTTGACTTTTTGGCTTTTTTGGTCATTTTAGTCTGGGCTAAAAAACTTAGTTTGGGAAGCGATTTTTGACTTTTTTTTAGAGAATAGTGTAATGATTATGAGTTGGATGTGATATTTTGTTTGTTGTGACTAAAATATCTTATTTTGTCTTTTGTGACTATTTTAGAAACAAATCATCTTCCCAAACAGACTCAAAAGTATCAAAGCTATGCGGTTTTCCCCAAGTAGCCCTTGTCCGAATTGACTTCTAATCTCCTACAAAGGTGGTCTAATCAGTAATAATAGAAACCTAATGTAATGGGTAAAAATGTAATATTATACAATTTGAATAATCTAAATCTTAAAAACAAACATCCGTCTTCTCCACGTACACTAGATTAGACAACTAACCGTACCCATGTTTTCCTCCACCTCTCATTTCAAAATAGTGAATAAAACAAATAAATGTTTAGACGTATGGTTTAAGTTGTAAAAATATTTCAAATATATAATTACAATCAATACTGTCCCTGTTTGGATAGTCAAAAAGTTCAAAAGACATTTTTACCTATCAAATTAAGTACTGATTTAGACAATCATCTCCTATTAAACTACATTTGTTGAAATTAGAAATTTTATGAACTAAAAGGATTAATAGTTTAAGAGTGAAATTTAAAAAAAAAAAAAAATGGCCATAGTTTAAGGGATAGAAGTAAATTTTTTTGAGACTTTACTCATTAAGTCTTGTTAATCCATTATTTTTATTAATAAATTTACAATGATACATTTATCAGTTAGAATTTAGAAGTAAATAAATCTAATTAATAGAACTAATTGTTAAGTAATTTACAATGATACATTTATCAGTTAGAATTTAGAAGTAAATAAATCTAATTAATAGAACTAATTGTTAAGTGCCCGTAATATTTGAAGCTCTTTCCTACTAAAATTATTACGGAAAATTACAATTTAGTGTATTCTTAAGAAAATAAATAAATAAATCTATTAAATGGTATACTTTACAAATGAATTTGTAATTATTTTTTGAAAATATTAATAAATTGTAATTTTTCTAAATTATTACAGCATTCCAGTATTCTTTTTTCAAATTGAAAGAGATATATTTGTGCCAAATCCAAAATCAGATTTCATATTGCAAGTGAAAACTCTGTTAAGTGAAAGTGAAAGGAGCCTATGAGAAAAAAGAGAGGGAGAGTATGAAAAAAATAAGAAATGCAAAAAAAATTATAAACTAGGGGAATTTGGTCAAAGCCCCCTCGTAGTAAAATTTTAATACATTAAACTTACACCAATTTTAAAAAGAAAATTTGGTCAAACTCTCCTCATAATAAAATTTTAATGCATTAAGGACAAATACAAAAAAAAAAAAAATTCATGAAAAGTCCAACACATACCATATTACCAAGATATCCTTAGTGAGTAATTTAATATTTAAAATTTTAAAATAATATAACTTTGGATCTAGATGTCGATTTTTAATAAAATTAGTATTTTTAGAATCATCGCATCCAAAATCTATCAAACAAGATTCATGTTGACTATGAAATTCTTAAAAAAAAAATGTTGGAATTTATGTAAATAGTAACATATTACTCTGATTCACAGTAACATGTCACGCTGATTGACAGTAACATGTTATTGCCTATTTTGAACAGAACATTAGCAACAGAAACATAGTATGACCCTCCCTACGTATGAACTCACACTATTCCAAGAAATTAAAACCCATACATACTCGTAGAATATTGCAGCTTCAAAAACTCTTTTTGTGCTAATAAAAAATGGCACATTAGTGGCACATCATAGAATATCAATTTACATAGTCAATTGATACAATAAAATTTGCATATCTTTCTCTCCACTGTTGATGTCTATGAGAATCATTTGTGTGTGTGTGTGTGTGTGTTGAAAAGCGTTGAATTGAATCGAAATTGAAGATCTTACGAGTCAAAAGGTAAGATACTGCAAAGATACAAAGTGATCAATACAAATATCAAACTCTACAAACAATGACTTGGAGAACAAATTGAAGATACTGCAAAGATCAACGGCGACTATGTGCTAGGGTTCCTGCGACTTGGAGAATAGATTGAAGATTGTCAACTTCATTGATACAGATTTTCAAATTTGTAAGATTATATATGCAAGGACAATATTGCCTAGAAAAAGAGAGAGAGAGAGAATTTCATGTCCTTATTGAGTCATGTGCCTCTTCCTTAGGGCGATTATAAAGAAAAATAAATTTATTTGTCCTTCATCCTAAAAAAAAGCCCAAAAAGGTGATTTTGGCAACAAAAAAAAAAAAAAAACGTATAAAGGCTTCCTGAACACCCCTAATATATCACTCATTGTTTACCAAAATTTCAATAATGCAAGGCAAGTAGGGCTAGTAGGCAAGGCTTCAAATAATTTTATTCCTTATTATATTAG